TTCAAGAAATCTTGGAAATAAGAAAATTCAATATATTTGGAAAGCATTGAGAAATGCAAATATGAACAATATAAAGTAGATGATACTATCATGCATAATTTGGATTGACAATAGTATGTCATAAAATATCATGACACAAAAGTGTCATAACATTTAGACATACAAAATTATCAATGTTTTATGTGATGTCAATGTATCATTAAATTCCAAGACATTATAGTGTCGGCAAAAACTGTGGTGTTTATATGTCATAAAATATATTGTTACTATTCTGTCACAATTTGCTGACACTAAGCCATGACACTAAATTTAGTGTCGCAACTCCCAGTTTTCGTTGACACTTTCCTAGTGTCATGAAATCTTACACTGACACTAAATTTGTGTCACTATAGAGTCATTTTCTACTAGTGTTCAAGGCCTTCCATAGATTGGCACATGGATTCACACTTTATATTCTTTAAACTATGCTTAGATTTGGTGTGAGTAAGCTTTTGGACTGGATTTGAGAATTAAAGTTTATTTTTTGCTTTTTTTTTAACTACACTGACCTTTGTTATACCTAATAAACTATGTCCCATGGGTTTAGTTTTAATTGAGGACCAGATCACAGTCCAGAGATTTCCCATGAGTTTAGTTTTTTTTTTTTTTACTTTTACTTTCTTCTCTGTATTTTTTTCTGTTATTCATCTTTTTGCATTGTAATTTTATTTTTATTTAATGAATAAAATCGTTTTGTTGTTAAAAAAAACCTAATAAACTATGTTCTTTCGATTTACTTCAGGTTTTGATTGAAGATAAACCAGCTCAAGAATTGAGTTCTAAACTAAGGTTGACTCTTGCTCTTTTTATGGCCTTTCTTTATACTCTTAAATAAAGATTAATCTACTCACATATTCTACTACTTTCATAGTGTGACACTCCGAAAAAATTTAAATAAAATAAATAATTTTTATTAATCAGATGGAATGTTATGAAAGTCACATTTTAGAAATGAAGTGAATCATATAAGATTTTAATATTAGTGACATTTTTAATCAGATAAAAATGCTTCAATAATAAAAATGGCATTTTTATAATTATTAGATTGATCAGATAAGACTTTGAATTAAATAACAAAGTGACATTTTTGTAATAAGTGATAACTATACATATGACATAAATAATACAAGTGACATTCTAGCAATTTTAATTCAAAAGTATCAATTAATGTGTGTACAAAAATATACTTAATACCACACAAAATAATAATGTCAAAAAATTGACTTTTCTAAGTTGATAATAATACTCCGTAGATAAACTCAAAACCATCACAAAAATTACACGTAGGCATTCGAGTATAAGTAATAAAATACGAAGTATACAAATATGTTGTGGTGCACTGGTGCTGCAGGTGCATAATAATTAACGCATGAGTAGGTGATAATGTATAGCAATAATATAGGAGAAGGATACAAAAGAAATCAATGCACATGGACATAGACAGGGGCGTATCTAGCATGGGGGCAGGGGGGCAGCTGCCCCCACTCAACCCCCACCTTACCCCATTATATATATATATATATATATATATATATATATATATATATATATATATATATATATCTCAAATTTTGTTTGTGTACATATGTGATAGTATTATGTATAGTATAATATCTCTTAAAGTCCGATTTTTGACGAATCTGATGTAGTAGCCAGCTGGTTCACGTGCTTTCTGCTTTGCCTGTCATCGGATGTTCGAATCCTCTAAGAGGCCACTACTTCTTTTAATTTTTTTGCTCTTTTACACTGTTTTTTTTCAACTTACAACTGTTTAAATTTTGTCCAAATTAAAGATTCCAACTAATTTTTTAATGTAGCTAATAAATGATACGTAGAACTAAGTAGTAGTTTTAATAACATCTCTTCACACTTGATATAAAAGCTTGTTTAATTGTAACTTAAATCACTTATAATTACATATTTTATGCATTTCATATATATATATATATATATATATATATATATATATATATATATATGATTTTGTACTTAATAAACTATAGAATGTCTAAAAGATCCAAATTAGTTCAAAATAATCTATTTTAATGGAATTTCAATCACATCTTTTCACACTTAGTATTAAAACACACTTATTTTTTGTAACTTAAATTAGTTATAAATTTATAATTAAATATTTCATCCGTTTCTTATAATTTTTTTAATAAATTGTGGATTATATTTTTATTAATAATTCTTACCTAAAAAATTTGTAATAACATTAGTGTAAATTTGCCCCCACTCGACGAAATTTCTGGATACGCCACTGGACATAGACATGATCGGATGAGGCCAAAGGTACATAACCGTGATTAGCTAGGCATATACACATTCACATGGGTATGATCAGATAAATTTTAATCAATAATGACTCTTGAAACGATAATTGACTCTTGAATTACGGCTGAAATCAAAGCGTAACTTCCGGACTCCTATATATACATAATACATGCACCCTATACTCAGACGTACAAAGAAAGCAAAAACAAAAAGAAATCCGAGCAACACGATTTACTGCCTCCATATAAAGAGAGGAAAAGAGAGAGGGCAAAACTATCGTCGCTGGAGCAAGAACGAACAAACGCCGGTTACACAGAGAAGTAACAAACGCCGGAATAAAGGTTATGATCCTTTTAATTGTGAGAGAGATGGGTTGAGCATGATACACAGTATCATCATATATCCGCATCTTTAGCATCACCCTCCTTCCTGTTCAAATTCAAACATGTACTCTGTTGCGGCCATTAAATCATTCGAAGCCGGAAGGTGTCACATGGTGGGTGAGCGGCTGGCCGATGGACTAGAGTCCAGGAAACTGCGGCCATGAGAAATTGATTCAAATCTGCCAGGACTGCCACCGGTGAAGATGAGAAAGAGGTTGGACGAAGGCGGCAGACGGTGATAGGCGGTGATTGCAGGCGGTTGGACGAAGGCGGCATACGGTGATAGCCGGTGATTGCAGGCGGTTGGACGGCGAGGCGGTGGTCTGGACTACAACTAGGGTTGAGAAATGGAGTGAGATGTTAGGGTTCTATAATAATACTTTAAGGGAAAAATAGCCCATAAAAAAATATTTAATTATTTATTAATATATTAATTAAATATGACGAATTTTAATTTTATTTTGGGAAAAAACTCATTAGGTCATAGATTGGGAAAGTCATGATGTTTTAGTAATACCTAGAGTAATTATCTCTAAATAGAATGCAATAAATGCATAGATGGATTATTTTTTAATATGCCACAGTCAAATTGTAGCCGGAAATTAAGCTTCTCAATTTGTTTCGAGAATGATAGTTGCCAGAAATTACACAATTCTGTAAAATGTACTCTTGCGGTACGATGCAAGCCGTACAGCCGATTGTATATACTCAAAAAACAATAATACTATAAGAGATTTGGACAAAATTATTACTAAAAACGACCTTTAGACAAGAACAAACATTTTTTATTTCAATTTTAAAAAATGTGACTCAAAATGGTTACAAGGACTATTACAAATTTATTTAACCCATCTAGTCCATACTTGATTAGTGACTATTTGACACGATCAATTACGATTACTCGATATGACTAGTTACAATTAGCCGAAGAGATATTGAAAATGGGTAGACTAATTGAGATATATAAATGCAAATTGAGTTTCAATTGTATTACATACTCCGTATATTCTTATGAGGGGGTAAAAATGGAAAATAAGTTGTATAAATTTTAATCTCAAGTATTCCCTTGAACTCACCAACAAAGCAGTTCGTATACCGTGGGATCATCCCACGGTGAGCACCATGCTCCCACTCCCAAAACGACGTAGTTTTACTACAATTTTTTTTTAAAAAAATCACATGAACAGTACTTGCGTGAACAGTATACGCGTGTACAGTAACTATTTTTTCTTTCTTTTTATCTCAGTAGCATGAATGATGTAACTCGCATGTATAGATATGTAACTCACGTTATTAATCAATGTAACTCAAGTGCATTCGAAATGTAACTTGTCAAATACATAGTATAAATAATAAATTATTGACTTTATTGTTAACAATGACAAAAAGAGTACTCTAAATGTACAGTTTCTTCAACTTAATCGTGAATATGTTTTGTTTTTAATATCATGGTCATTCAAAAATGATTTAAGAAAACCTTTTTTGTTTAAAAAGTAAGGGTTGATTTTTTTATGTAATGCATGTCACTGCAAATGTAACTCGCATTGATGGCAAATGTAACTTAGGCTTAAACAAAATGTAACTTGTTGAGATAATTCCAAATGTAATTTGTGTGTCAGAAGATGTAACTCGCTCATAAGAAAATGTAACTCACGTACAAGAAGATGTAATTCACGCAAAAAAAAAGATGTAACTTCATGTATTATCAAATGTAATTGAGGGTATAAGATTAGACAGAGTATATTATAACATTAATTATTATATGTATTAGAATTATTAACCTTAAATGTATTAGAATATATAATATGTGGAGTATATATAAACAGTTGAGAAGAACAACGATTGAATGCTATTTGTGCCTTCTTATCTCTTTGTGGCCTTCTTCAAACAGGAAATTAAAATTAATGAATGCTTCGAATAAGAAAACATCCACCAGTGGCCGTTCTAGCATGGCGGCAGGAGAGAGGGCATTAATCAGCTCCAGGAAGTCCTCGTTCATGCAGCAACTTCAAATCATGGTAGATGACAACCGCAAATCTGAAATCCTCGCTGCAGACCTGAGATCTCACAATCTGGAGCTAGCGATTGGCATGGGAACAGGGAACGGATCGGAAGGAGCTCACCTCGCTGGGAAATAAGAATGACGTTTTGCTCTCTTTTAATCGTAAAACGGTACCGTATTGGGATTGGCACACCATGCTCATGGTGGGCCGATCCCACGGTATAATTTGCCCCAACAAAGTGAAGAAACCATGTAAAGTGAAAATAGCAACAAAACACCATTAAGGTGTGTTTGGATGAGCTGAAGAGAGCATGCGATTGCAAACACATTGCCTTCCTCCGCCGATTGGATTTCAAACAGCTCGCATACGTACACTGGATTTGGACGTTTTTGCGGTTAGGGTTTGGGTTGCGGATTGAGCACGATGGAGAATTCAGATTCCAAGGATCCTTCCCAGTCCGTCAGAGTGGCTGTGAACATCAGGCCGCTGCTTAGTGCGGAGCTTCTCCTTGGCTGCACTGATTGCATCACCGTACTGCCTGCCAATTATCGGGTATGCTAAGTTGCTAAGACACTTTAATTCCACCCGAGCCTTGCAATCTCAGATCCAAAACAGTGATCTTCGAAATAGGCTTGATCTGCCTCGCTGATTGTGATGCACACAAACAGATAATTTTAAGAATAATAAGCTAACTGTATCACTCTGGAATTTAAGGTAGTGTAAATCTTACACTTTTTTGATTATTTTACAGGTCCGCATTGGGTCTAGTTCATTCACGTTCCATCATGTTTTTGGAGGTGCTGGTTACCCATCATCCCGTATATTTGACGACTGTGTTCTCACCCTAGTTGAGTCATTAATATTTCAAGGATATAATGGCACATTACTTGCGTATGGACAGGTATAATACTCTCTTTAATTTGGTTGGATATATTGCTGCTCTGTACTAAGCTGTGTGTACTATTATTAGAGTTAAGCTGAAGTGCTTTTTGTATTTATGGCCAACAGACAGGTTCTGGGAAGACTTGTACAATGGGAGCAGACTATAATGGATTAGACAACAGTGAAGGAGTCATACCTCGAGTAATGGAAACCATATTCTCTAGAGTAAATGAATTGAAGGATTCAATGGAGAGTCTAATCAAGGTGTCTTTCATTGAGATAAGGGACATGATTTTTAGTGATTGAATAAGGAAATCATTTCTTGTATATAAACTGATATGGTGATGCACTCTTTTCCTTTGAACCTGTGATTTTGCAGATCTTTAAAGAGGAAGTTTTTGATTTACTAGTTCAAAACACACCAGCACAGAACGGCCAGAACTCCCATTTATATTAGAGAAACTGCTGTTGGGGGGATTGCACTAGTAAATCAAAAACTTCCATTCTAATATGAATGGGAGTTCTGGCCGTTCTGTGCTGGTGTGTTTTGAACTAGTAAATCAAAAACTTCCTCTTTAAAGATCTGCAAAATCACATGTTCAAAGGAAGAGAGTGCATCACCATATCAGTTTATATACAAGAAATGATTTCCTTATTCAATCACTAAAAATCATGTCCCTTACCTCAATGAATCCTTCAATTCATTTACCCTAGAGAATATGGTTTCCATTACTCTAGGTCTCCTTCACTGTTGTCTGCTCCATGATAGTTTGTTCCCAATTACAACACGCAGAAAGAGAAGTGGACCATGAGCGAGTTAATTGTTATGTGTGTTTAAGAAGAAGAGCGCCTAAAAGTTGAAAAACCAGACGTTGCTCATCTTACCATCACAAACTCAAGGAAAAGGAAAGGCAACCGTCAAGGAGAAGGAAAAGGTAACATTTCTAAGGTCCCAAAGATAGGTGCAAGCGTGAGCTTTGGTCCCTACTGTAAGTTTTGCCATTTCAAAGGGCATTACCAGAGGGAGTGTCATAAGTTTAAGACATGGCTGACTAAGAAAGGTAACTTAACCACTTATGTAATTTATGAATCATTGAACGTGTTTGTTGCCCTTAATACTTGATGGATTGACTCTGGTTTAATGGTTCATGTTTCAAACACACTACAAGGATTCCATTCAATCCAGACATTGGGAAGAAAGCAAAGAGTGATTAAGGTGGGCAACGGAGAATAATTAGAAGTAGAGGCCATTGTAACTATCTCATTAATTTTAGAGAATGACTTCATTCTTCATCTTCGTGATGCTCTTTAAGTACCTAAATATTACTCGTAATTTAGTGTTTGTATCGAAACTAAGTGCTGATGGTTTTACATTTAATTTCGTATACAATAAAGTGACAATAAGCTTGAACTCAAATGTAATAGGATTTGGTAGCATGGAGGGAAACCTCTATAAATTATGCTTAGATACTAATTTTATGGAATCCCAATTGTCATTTAATATAACTGAAAATCCTTGCAAGAGAAAGAGAGAATTGGAATCGTCATCCAATTTGTGGCATCAAAGGTTGGGCCACATATCACGAGATCGAATGATAAAACTCGTGAAAGACGGCATTCTTCCAAATTATGACTTCTCGAATTATGACAAATGTGTGAAGTGTTTGAAAGGGAAATTATCAAAGAAAAACGAAGAAGGCGCCACACGAAGCACCGGTTTGTTAGAATTAATACACACCGATATTTGTGGGCCTTTTCCCGATTCCATTAGTAGTCATAACTCGTTTATTACTTTCATAGATGATTACTCATGTTATATGTACTTATATTTGATTAAGGAAAAATCTGAATCTCTAGATATGTTCAAGGCTTATAAAGCCGAAGTTGAAAATCAATTTGATCGAAAGATCAAAGTAGTGAGATCGGATAGGGGTGGAGAGTTCTATGGTCAACACACTGATATTGGTCAAGCTCCCGGCTCTTTCCACGAATTTTGTAAAGATCATCAACCAATATACCATGCCCGACACCCTTCAACAAAATAGGGTTGCCGAAAGGCGGAATAGGACTCTTATGGATATGGTCCGAAGTATGTTGGCTAATTCAAATCTTCCCCAATTCTTATGGACCGAGGCCCTAAAAACAGCAACCCACATATTGAATAGGGTGCCATCAAAATCTGGCCCTAAAACTCCATATGAGTTATGGACGGGCAGGAAGCCTAGTCTACGGTACCTAAAAGTGTGAGGTTGTCCGTTTGAAGCAAAAGTGTATAATCCTCAATTGAAGAAACTTGACATGAGAACCATTAGTTGTTCCTTTATTGGCTTTCCCGAAAGATCTAAGGGATATAGGTTCTATTGCTAGTAATTGTCATATATATGACTAAAAATAAACTTAAATGCACAAATAGGACCATATCTTTTTTATTCGTTAAATAGGACTCCGGATTACCATTATACCCTCCTATATAATTAAATGAAAACCGTAGGAATTAATCGCAACCCTCCCACTATCTCACGATCTGCTTTTCGCGACTCTCTCATGGCTGCTCCCCCATGGCGGAGCTCTCACAATAGGCTTTGCTCGATTCTCCCATGGTTGGAGCTCTCACGATCGGCTCTCTCTTCGCCTCTCATCGTCGCCTGATGTGTGTTTTCTCGCACTTAAAATAGATAGTAATATAGTGGTGTAAGTACGAGTATCGTCTCCACAGGGACGGACAAAAGGGAATCAAAGATTAACTAAATTCAGTGATTAAAAAGAAAATAAATAAATTAAAATGTGATGTGCGAGATTGGTTGGTTGAATTAAAATTAAAACTAATGCAGATGAGCGATTAAAATAAAAGCTTGGTTTCTTTCTAATTAACGACGAAGGAAACAGAAATGGATTCCGGGGTTAACCAGATTTCTGGCAGAACAGACCTAATTACATGAATTTAATTTAATTGAGCCTAGCTAATCATTACTAAGTTCTTACCGCTCTCGCGGCGTAGAGTACAATAATTTAGGGGACCAGGCTGATCTCTCATGCGACAAGACCCTAAATTATTGTCAAAACGAGCGAGCTTACGGCCCCTTAATCGTTACTAATCTCTTAGCGAACGATTAAGTGTGTGTGAATGTGTCCTAGAATAAACTAGATCTCTCTTAATTTATTCTGCAAGCAATTGTAATTCTAGCCGCGGTTCCAGGTTACAAAAGATATCAGTTAAATTATTCAAACACAAATTAAACGGCATTCATGCAATTAAACCAACAAGAATCTAGTCATCAATCATGATTAAACCCTTCATCAATCCCAGACCCCTAATTAAACTACTCACAATTCATAATTGAAGAATCAACAGAATTGAGATGAATAGAAATAATTGTCATTAATTAAAAAGATAAACTTACAAATAATCCCATGGTTTTGGAATAAAATAGCGTAAAAACGGTGTTAAATTCGTCCCTAGGCCTCTCCGTAATGTTCGTCACCCCTAAAAAGGGTTAGGGAGACCTTATTTATAGAAAAAGGGAAAAAAAACTCAATTCTGGTTGAGGTGGGATTTTTCCGCGCGTTACTCGGGGCTACGCACGATCGTGTGTCCCTGGCTACGCACGATCGTGCGTAGCAAGCAGTGTCATCTCCGTGATTTTGTAACGGACGCACGACCGTGCGTCCCAGACGCATGACCGTGCGTCCCAGACGCATGACCGTGCGTCCCTCTTTTTCGCTCCTTTCTCTTGTTTTCTTGCTCCAAACGCTCCCGGATGCAAACGAGGTCGATCCAAATGCTCTTTCTACATCAAAATTTCGCCGTGAATCACCAGTGACCTCCAAATCTCTCGAATCTTTCTTGAATGCTCTCTAGCTCCTCCCGATTGTCTCTCAAGCACCGATTGCCGGACTCTAACTTCTTCAATTTGACTCCAAATGCAACAAAACTTGACCTAACGCCTGGTAATCACAACTTGAACTAAAATTGAGACTTGCAACACCTTAAAGCTAGGAAAACCATCGAAATCCAACTCCAACACGCATCAAATGCGTGTTTACATACGAACTTATCAGATTCCCCCACACTTAAGCTTTTGCTTGTCCTCAAGCAAATCGAACAACGGGACTTACGATAATCACCACACGGAATTAAAACAGTTAGCATGCCCAAGTAGTTACAGGGATATTCACAGAACAGACAATCTAAACCAAGAAAATTCTTCCCTAAACTATATCTTTGTACTCAAGCTAAACTATTTGACAAAGTATTCACAACATCCTTAAAGTAACGACAACATACACAAATAAACTAGCTATTAATCATAAGGACTTGTGAAAGTGGTGGTGGACGGGTTATGGATAACAATAATAGTCCCTTTCTTTTGAGAGATTGGAATATTCTAACAAAGACTCAATGTATTCAGGAACTTCAGGGCTATTCTTCTAGAGTATCACCATAACGTCTTATTTGGCTAAAAGTCATCAAGACTCTAGAGAGAAATTCTTGGACAGATTCATTATCGTTCATAATCAAATTATCAAAATCACGCCATAGATTTTGTAATTTGATTGAAATAACCCTTTCATAACCTCCAAACTGATTTTTCAAAGTCTGCCATGCTTCTTTTGCTGTTTTAGCACTTGTAATGCGCGGAAGAATGGATCGGCTTACCCCTTGGTGCATAAAGGTCAGAGCCCTTGCATCCTTGGTCTTGTTTTCTTTATACTCCTTCCTTTGTTGATTTGTCAACCCAGCTACCTGCTCCTGAGTCTGCGGCGTGAATTCTTCTTCAACGACATCCCAAATATCATGAGATAGATAGTGTCTGCATTAGAACACTCCATTGCTCGTAGTCTTGTCCAAAAAAAGTTGGAACTCCTTGCTGGGAATATGAGAAGGCTAATTCATTGTTGCCTGCAGAAGCCATTGCAAAAAACGGCATTACTTGGGGCCTAAAACAGGCTCTGATACCAAAAATATGTTGGGTTGTTTAGATAAAGATAGAATATAAATGGAGGCTAGAAAGAAAATATGTTTCATTGATAACTTTCTCTACACTTACATGCCTTACAACCTGGATATATATAGGCTAAACATAATAAATAACCGTGCAACTCTTTGTATTCTAGGACTCTTCAAGTGAAGTAACTTTATTATTAGAAGTATCTAGAAAAGCAGTTTCATAATTATTAATTGACTCTTGAACAATTATCACCTATAATTGGATCAACGTTTATTTCTGCATCCCATGTTTGTTATAAAATCTCTTTGTGCAGCACTCGTTTTTTGTTAGAATGTTGAGAATATAGCCAGTCATTTATCACAGCCAACAAATTCAGAAATTTTACTTCTGCACCTCATGTTTACATAGCACCCTGCTCATCGACTATTAACCATGGAATGCAAGATCTAGTTTTGGTGGAAGCGTGTGGTGCAAAAACTAATTTTCCCCTCTTTTATACAACATATATAAGCAACACATGCGGTGCCAGATAATTTCATTTTTGCTTGCCCCCACCCCCCAACTAAAAATAAAAGGAAAAACTTAAGTATTATAACATGTGCCTTTGAAGGTAGAGTAGAAGTTGAGGAGAAGGAGTTGGAACGTTCTTCTCTTCAAGAAAACCTTGATAGGGAACTCAAAGAACTGGACAAAAGGCTTGAACAAAAAGAGGTTTATGCACATATCCCATATTCCCATGCTTACCTGTTTGGTTGAATACTGACCAGGTTCTCACTTATCTAACATTTCTTGATGTTTATCTCCTTTTCTCAAGTTAATACACTAAAGTATCAAGGGAACTAGTGGTTTTCCAGATTAGTGGGTTTGCCTGTGTTTTTAGATTGGGTAGTAATTTTAAGATGTTTGTATCATTACTCGATATTTAGAAAGAATTATGCCACTGATCACTCATATTAATACACACTTTCTCATCTATAAAAGGCGGAGATGAAGAGAGATTTACAGATGACACTTCTGTTCTAAAGCAACATTATGAGAAGAAAGTTCATGCGTTGGAACAAGAAAAAAGATCAATGCAGGTAACACTGTTTCTTCGATTGTGAAATCAAATGCTTGTTTCTGTTTTTTTTTGCCACTACAGTTCAACTCCCTTTCTTATTTCAGAATGAAATTGAGAAACTCAAACACATACTTTCAAACTTATCATCCAGCACTGATTATAGTGCTCAAAAACTTAAAGAAGAGTATATTCGGAAGTTGAATTTTCTTGAATCTCAGGTGAGCTCGGTCTTTTCCCCCTCGGCTAATTCAAGAGTTTATGGTGTTATATTAGTTTTTGAGGTTAAATATTTATAAACTGTACTTCTTCAGGTTGCTGAGTTAAAGAAAAAACAAGATGCCCAATCTCAGATCTTGAGACAGAAACAGAAGAGCGATGATGCTGCCAAACGCCTTCAGAGTGAGATACAGAGCCACAAAGGATTAAGCCTCAAAAGGTACTAAATGATGGTGTCTAGAGATACTTGTATTGATTAACATTAACAGAGGATTGCCTACCATTCACTTTCTGCTTTTACTCTAGGTTCAATTGCAACAAACGATAAAGCAAGAATTTGAGCAATTCAGGTTATGGAAAGCATCACGAGAGAAGGAAGTCCTTCAGGTACTTTAGTTCTAGATTATCATCACTCTTTCGTTTTCTCCTTTTTACTTTTTCCTCATATTAGTGCTTTTATATTGCTACAGCTCTACTGAATATGACTTGTACATTTTCATTTCTACGGCTAAAGGAGGGAAGAAGAAATGATACGAGATGTTTAAGACTTTAAGCTGCGGGCATTTAATCGGAGACAGCTAACTACAATAATTCAATAACAATGACCAATCCTTGTGCTAAGTCATTCGTGTTTGTGATACCATTTACATTATTTTTGTTTATTTACTTGTTGAAATTTCTTCCATCATTTGTAATGGAGCTAAAAATTCATTATTTTTTGGCTTGAGAATATGATGAAATAAAGCAAAATGGCTCACTAAACTATTTGCGCTTCTTTGTTATGAAGTAGCAGTCAGTTCATACAATTTTGGACGCAATTTTCACAAGGGTAAGATTGCGTACATCTGATCCCCTTTGCGGCAGTGGGGTAAATGAAAATGAAAATGAGATTTACTTGTTGAAATTTAGAATGAGGAAGTGTATTCCTCATTATTAAATTCACCGGTTACGTTTACCCATTGTTCTCAATGTGAATGTTTTTACATGCTCTCCTATTGGCGTTTTTTGTTTTACATTTTTTATTTTATTTTTAATTTTTAAATTTTTTTAATTTTTTTTATTTTATAAATATTTTATACATTTTTTATACTCCCTCCGTCCCCCTAAGTTTGAGACGGAGGGGTGTAGTGTGGTTTTTAAGAAAATGTGTAATTGTGTGGTTGATATTGAATTGATAAAGTGTAAATAAAGTAAGAATGAATTCTAACCAGTCAAATATTACCAAATATGGTATGGGACAAACTTAGTGGGACGGACGAAAAAGGTAAAACGAGGCAAATTTAGAGGGACGGAGGGAGTATTTGTTAACGTTTTTTTTTATGATTTTATTATTAATTAAGACATTTCAAAAGCCTAAGGCGTATTTGTCCAAATACACATAAATAATGGTGGATTCGGGTCGGGCCGCCTGGCACGTGAACTGGCCCGACCCGCTACTGTGCGGGCCCAAACCGGTTGGTTCAGCGGGGGCGAGCTCGAGTTTAGGGAATGGTGACCCGGCCGGGCCGGGCCTAACGGTCATATTAAAAAACAATAATTTTAAAACTAGCCAAACACCTCCCTAGCCGTTGGGTGGGGGGAAGAGGGGGGGTCCTGGGCTTTTGGGGGGTGGGTGGGAAGGGACTGAAGGGTGGGGTGGGGGTAAAAAAAACTATAAATATTCCTATTTTTATATATTTTCCAACACCTCTTCTCCAACTCTTCCTACTCTCTACTCTCTAATATTCTATTATTCTTAATCATCTCAATCTTCATCTTTTCAAATTCTCTTTTTCTCCATTATATTTAACTATTTAATAATTATACAATTATTATATCTACTTATATATTAATTTTCTACCTATAAATACATATAGTATTTTGCTTATGTTTCTTATCTACTTAATCTCTACTTATTATCTACTTATATATTCATTATCTACTTATAAATGCATATATTATATTACTTATATTTCTTATCTACTTAATCCCTATTTATTATCTACTTATTTAATACGTATTAAATATCTACTTATAAATACATATTTAAATACATATATTATATTACTTATATTTATTATCTACTTAATATCTACTTAAGACATACGTATTACATCTACTTAATATATACATTATATATTAAATTTAAAGTATTAAATATAAGTGTATTATTACTCATCTTATAGTAGTATACTTATATATTATATACTATAAACATTATATTATATATTAGTTATACAATTATTATATCTACTATTATAGTTCGAATTATCTAAGTTTATATACTAAATATCTACTTATTATATAGTTGATTTTTACTAACCTATTACTTATATTACATCTAATTAATATATTAAGTATATATATATATATAGAGCACTCTTCCGGTCAGGAATTCCTGACCGGAACCGCCGTCCGGACGGCGGCGTTTGGCCGCCTTCCGGGTGGAATTTTTTGATGAAATTTTTATGACATGTTCTTCATCAAGTCTAGTTTATCCACAAAAAAATTCAGCCAAAAACTCATTCGGGAAGGTCGTCAAATGATTTTTGCAAGTTAACTGGTCCGGAAAATACATATTCCGGACGAGTTAACTTGAAAAAATCATTTGACAACCTTCCCGATTGAGTTTTTGGCTGAATTTTTTTGTGGATAAACTAGACTTGATGGAGAACATGTCATAAAAATTTCATAAAAAAATGTCACCGGGAAGGAGGCCAAACGCCACCGTCCGGACGGCGGTTCCTGTCCGGAATTCCGGACATGAATAAAATTCTATATATATATATATATATATATATATATATATATACTTACACAATATATTACATATTAGTTACACTTTAATTAATATTAGTTAAATTCATTCTATTACTCCTATTAATTAGTAACACATTCATACATTTGTCTTATTAGTTACATTTTTTTTATTAACATTAGTTGTTATACCTTTGTCACTACTTTTAAAAAGTAGTTAATTGTTACATTTGTCATTATAGTAGTTTGAATTTTTATTTCAAGGAAAACAATAGTTGAAATTATTTTTTTAAGTACTTTATATTTTATTAAAGTAGTTTTCACTAAATTAAAGTACTTGGAAATTTGTTACTTCACATTTTAGTTAAATTCACACTTGTTAGTTTTAAGTATTTGTTAAAGTTGTTCGAATTATTTTATATAAAAATAGTAGTTTCAATTTTATTTCATTAAACTAAACTTGTTAGATTGAAGTATTACTTAATTAAAATAGTTTTAATTAGTTGCATTACTTTTGTACTCATTAATATATTTGTTGCAATTTAATATTTGTTACATTTTTAAGGTGGAAGGTGGTAGATATTCTGTTGATATGGATAACCTCGACCGCAATCGAAGGAAGGAGATTGGGAGGAAGAATCCTAATTCCTGCAAAGGTAAAACACATATCAGGTCTTCATCTCAAAACCGAGATGATTTTGAAACGGATTACCAACGGAGGGATGGGGATGCGATGTCCGACGAACACCTACAACAAGAATTGGCCCGACATAATAACCCCTTTCTCCAACAACAACAAATTCCGACGACCATTGACGAAGAAGAGCTCGAGGATGAGGATGCGGAGGAACTCGAACCGAAGATGGCCGAGGACGAGGGTGACGGCACCCACGACGCCGACGAGCCTGCCTCATCCCAACCTGGTAAGAAAAAAAGAAAATCTAAACTAATGGAAAATAATTTTGATAAGTGGAAGGACGAGAATACTGGGATGTGGTACGCAACTTGAAAGTGATGCAACAAAAATTATGGCTTGGGGATCTCCGACGGATACGGATCCGCCGCAAGGCATCTTAAGTCCCGCCACAAAGTGGAGTATGCGAAATTTGGCAATGGAAAGGGGAAGCAAACTCAAATATCGAGGTTTGCAAATAGTCAAGCCTTTGTTAATTTCTCGTATAATGATTCCCAAAATTTGAGTAGTTATTATATGAAAGAAAATTGCTATGGTATTGTATCGAGGTTTGCAAATAGCCAAGCATGTGCATAATATCAAGGTTTGCAAATAGCCAAGCCATTGTTGAAGAAAATTGTCTTATTGTTTTCTGAAAATCTTGTTTTAAGAGATTATGCTCAAGGTAGTTTAAATCCTCAAGAGATTATGCTCAAGGTAGTTTAAAATATAGTTGCAAAACGATTAAGAAAGAAATTATAAGGCTTTATGGTGCGGAAAAGGCAAAGTTACTATTTGTTGTGAAATATGGGAGGATACTTATCATCATTTACATTATTTGGGTCTGACTACACATTATATTGATGGTGATTGGGAAATGCATAAACGTGTTCTTGCCTTTCTTGAATTTAATGATCGTCACACCACTGATAATTTAATGAGCATATTTTAATTGAATATATTTTGATTGATAAGGTGTTTTCTATAGGTTTTGATAATGCTACTAATAATACTGCTACACCTAGATTGCGTGAATTGTGTAGTTCTATGACTTGATTGGTAGATTTTTTCATCAACGATGTGCATGCCATATTCTCAATTTATGTGTGCAAGACGGTCTAACCGCGTTAGGAAATGCTATGGAGTATGGAGGTAGTCAAGAGGGGAATTAGACATATTTGGACTAGTGGTCAACTTAAATTACAATGGCAAAATTATTTGATAGAAAGACGTGTGAAATAATTGAAATATGTTGCTTTTCCTACATATTTGTCTATTCGCTGGAATAGTACTTATAAGTTAATTAAAGTTCTTATTAGACATAAAGACCATTTTGCTACTTTTTAAAAAGAATACACGCACTATATTATAAATCCGGCTGACATCGACACTTGCGAAAAAATAGTGAATGTTTTGGTATATTTTTTTAACGCAACTGAAACTTTTAGTCATGTTTATAAACCTACGTCAAACCAATTTATTCGTGAAGCTGTTAATCTCGCTGATGCTTTTAATGAATTTTCAAACACTAATTCCGTGAGTTATTATTTTTGTAATTTATTTTTGCATTTATTGGTTATTTGCAAGAATATTTTAAATTCTATTATCTTGCATTTTTGGTGAATTTCCAATGTATGACGATAACCCCATAGATCTGAAACAAGAATACAACGAGGTTAGTAATTTATTTTATTTTTTATTTAATGAGTTTCATGCACAATATGGCAACGCACCCCATCCTCCGACACGAACATTTTCATCTAAAGGAAAATCAATTTTCAAATCTGCATTTGGCAATCTTATAAAAAAATAATAAAACAACTGCCGCTACTGAACAAAGTTTAGTTAATGAGATTGTTTTGTATTTAACATATGGTGTTGATTTTGATGAAAATGACGACTTTGACGTTCTAAAGTGGTGGAGGGAAAAAGAAAGAATGTTCCCGGTCTTAGCAAAGATAGCTATGCAAGTGCTATCAATGCCGGTTTCAACAGTTGCCGTGGAACACGAATTTAGTTCGGCCGGCAACGTCTTAACGGAATCTAGAACGAGATTGAGCGCAAACTCTCTAGAGACGCTTTTATACTACCACGATTGGTTGAAGACGGCCCGTAGAACTCAAGAAATTAGCATCACCCCCTCCCTACACTTTATGGATGAATCAACAACTGAGGGTGACTCTACCTATGGTGGAGATTCCAATTGATTAGTATTTTACAATTTATTATAAAATGTATTTCATGTATGAATTTTTCCTCAATTCTCAGTTGTAGAATTGTAGTTCATAATTCAAATAAATATACGTTATTTTTTTTTTGAAAAATACGTTAATTTTTTTTAGATGTTGCAATTTATAAATTTATTATTTAAAAAAATTGTAAAAGACCCGACCCGGG